GGCTATTACCTATAGCTCTATCGGCACGGTGCGTTTAAAGATGAAAAAGTATCAGAAAGCACTCGAGTTCTATCAGAAGACACTTGAAATCCGACAACAATCGCTTCCTCCAAATCATCTCAGTTTGGCTATTACCTACAATAACACCGATCATGTGCATGACAACATGGGAGAATATTCGAAAGCACTCGACTTGTATGAGAAGGCACTTGAAATCCAACAAAAAATTCTCCCTCCAAATCATCCAGATTTGGCTATTACATACAACAACATCGGTCAGGTGCATGACATCATGGGTGAATATTCGAAAGCGCTCGAGTTCTATCAAAAGACACTTGAAATTCAAGAAAGATTTCTCTCTCCAAATGATCTCAGTTTAGCTAGCACCTACAACAACATCGGTTTGGTACATTACAACATGGGAGAATATTCGAAAGCACTAGAGTTCTATCAAAAGACACTTGAAATCCGACAAATATCCCTCCCTCCAAATCATCCTGGTTTAGCGAGTACGTACAACTGTATCGGTGTGGTACATTTGAACAGAGAAGAATATTCAAAAGCACTCGAGTTCTATCAGAAGACATTTGAAATCATCCAAAAATCTTACCCTTCAAACCATCCAAGTTTCGCTGCTACCTACAACAACATCGGTTTGGTGCATTACAACATGGGTGATTATTCGAAAGCACTCGATTCCTATCAAAAGGCACTGAAAATTGATCAAAAATCACTCCCTCCGAATCATCCCAGTATGGCTACTACGTATAAGAACATCGATTTGGTGTATGACAGTATGAGAGAGTACTCGAAAGCATTCGAGTTTCATCAAAAGACCCTTGAAATCCGACAAAACTCGCTTCCCCCAGATCATCCAGATTTCGCTCAAAGCTACAATAACATCGGTCAGGTTCATGATCACATGGGGCAGTACTCGAAAGCAATCTCATTTTACGAGCACGCTGTGGAAATCGGACAACGTTCATTGCCTGGAAATCACCCTCATCTTCAATTGTATCGAAGATGCCTCGCTGAAGTACAGAAAAATTATAATTGACTTTAGTTTTGAGGATCAAAATACTAATTCGGTATTAGGCCTACTCACATACTCTCACATGATTATTGAAACAGAACAGCTAATTTCTTCAAAGACGGTTAGCGGCAGCCTAAAAAAAGGCATAGAGAACAATGGCTTTAAGAGATGATCGCTGAAGAAGAGATAGATGTGTCTAACAGTTTGCATGATATTATATGTTTGTGAAAAGTTATGTAACGTTTCTGTTCCAATATAACAGTAAGTCACTGTAATTATAGTCCTGTATTTGTCTATTGAATGTTCAACTACTGTTACATTTGTAATAGAAATAGCTCAATATCTGCAGTACAGAGCTGGGCAGCCCTTATCGCTCCCCATTCCAAAAAAAAAAATGTTTCTCATTCACTGTTTTCTCTTTTAGTGAATTTTTTACGCTTCCCAGTAATAATACAGATATAGACTACATTAAGTGAATACACTAGATCTAAAGCTAGATGATGAATGCAGTGATACTATGATCAAATAGAAGGTAAAAATCAAAATAAAATATAGTACAGATATGCACATACTTATCTTATTATATTCCATAAGAGTGTCATTATTACTTCAATCCAACGCACACACCATCATCAAATGTAAACAGAACGATAAAAACTCGAAGCCTGCTCTAAGTGAACAACCAGACGGATATGATCTCAAGTTCTATTTTCCAACGTTCAAATATTGGAATGAATACATCTATGGTTAGTCCATCTTTCTCTAAAACTAGATTTTCATAAATTGAGTTGAATCTTGAGAAAGCCAATCGGCAAAAAATTTGCTCATCAATTAATAGTTATACAAAAATCAGTGCTGTTATCAACCTATGAAAATATTTGAAGATGGAAAACTATATGAAACGAATTATTAGTTGATAAGCTTCGTTGTGTGAAAAAATTATTTCGATCGAACTAGAAGTGGAATAGAAAAAAGCGGTTACTAGGTCGAAAGTAGATCGAAAAATCGTCTTATCGTATTTTGTGAATGCAACAAAGCGTTCTCTTCTGATGGCGCTAAAACTTGCACCAATTATTTTTCTATATGTGATTTATCGTTGGTCATATCGCTGTATTGTACCAGTGGATAAACGCAGCGCTAAGATTTTTCTAATAAACGCGACAAAGAGTTTTAATCCAATAGATCTGAAACTCCCACCAATTATTCTTCTACATGTGGTTCATAGTTGATCATAGCGCCATTTCGTACTGATGGGTACAGCTGGTGTTAGGGGACTTCCAAAATCTGAAGTATCTGTACCCGAATTTCTCTTTTTGACAACAACGCATCATTTTGGTAAAAAGAAACTAAGATGATATTTCTAATCAGCTCATCGAGCTGCATTGAATCATATATAATTAAGAACAGTTTTTCAAAGTACATTTTCAAAACCTTTATGCAAGAAAAGCTTAAAAAACGAGTCATAGAGAGTTTTTTGAACGCTACAACACAGATGGAGACATACGGCACGTAAACGGTCCTTATTTAATCGTATACGGGCATCGTAACAAATCGCCTAGGAAAGAGTTTTAACCTGATTGAGCTCCGCCATTTACTAGCTGTGCTCTTCTATATTAATTTATCGTTAACTATGCATAACATATCGAATCCGCAACTATTGACTAGGCTTGGGTTTCCTAAAAAACTGTATTTTTTGACCCTAACATCTCTTTTTGCCCTTAGAAAATAATATCTTCTAAGAAACGGAATTGACTCTTTTTCACAATCTTGAATTGTTTTCTGAATGTATCTGTCAATAAAATTTGCAATGTACATTTCTTTGCTAACATCCACCCCACATTCGTTTTTACTGCAACTTAGATATAATTAAAAGCTAAAAATACTGACTTCATCGTCATATGATATATTATCACACTTATACAACAAATTCTCAATGGCCAGTGAAACTTGCTGATGCACTTCCAACAAAAATACAACATGAGCTTCAACGAGTTGAATAAGTAATCTCAAGAAAAATGAAAAACATCCACATATAGTATCATACGTTCCCAAATCCAAAGGTTGGAAAAACTTTTCAAGAACATTTGAAGTTGACACTTGGTGGATATTATTAAAATAGATCCAATCGTAACCTTTCGAACTATCTTCAAGCTATTTGAGCATGTCAATAGGTTCGACTGTAAGAATATCAACAGTAGCATAGAGCTGTATAAACGCTCTGCAGTTTCTTGTACTATTCGTATAATAAAGATAGAGTTCTCTGTTGAACTTCTCTTTACCAAAAAAAAAGAACTTTTCCGTACAGCATTACAAAATACATCGAAATTACTTGTGGTGACTTTTAGTGCTATGTTGACATAGTGAGGTGTAAGATCAGAAAGATAGTTGATGTTCTCCTTGTTGCACAGATGATTATATAGGTCGATAACAAATGTGTCAATGAGCTCAGCAGAATATGTATGTATAGGATTAACGATTTCGTGTACATCGATGTCAGATACAGAATGTATTATTTTTATTTAACAATTATTGCAATAGTATGTTGTATCTCTTTCGAGGAATTATATTTAACTTATTTTTAAATCAGTTCGATATTTTACGTCAATCAAACAGAAACTAGCCCTTCAGTTGAAATATTTTGAAATTCCGTAGGGATTTGCTGTAAGCTAGTAAAAAAACATATAGGACACCTTCTAAATATTTATCACACGAATAAATCACTTTCTTCACATTGCTAATTGCATCATCATGCTTAACAATAGTAAGAATTATCTTTTGAACTCAACGAAATGGTTGATCATAAACTAATGCAAAAATATATTTGTATAATTCTATCGAACAGTGCTCTATTGTATCATAACAAATCAAACTTAGGATAAACCATGTGACATCAACATCAGCGAGATATTGCTCTTTGATAGTATTTTCAATTTCAGTGTGTGTATGACTCGTTCACGTTCTAAATTGAAAATCAACTTTAAAAGTTCTTTGTAATCAATTTGGACAAGAATTTTAGAAGTATGATCAGCATTTCGATTTATTACAATCAAGATTTGGTGAAGAGTATTTAAATTGATAAATCGTAAATTCAACAAACGGAAAACGATATATGAGAGACGATAGTCAGTATCAATAAGAAACATATTCTCGATGATATCGATTAAACCAAGAATATTCGAACCTTCCATAATTAATTGTAATGCGGCATAATGTGCAAAAAGATTTCAAATCTTGATCTATTCGATAGTTGGGCCATTTCTTAATCTAATCAATTTCTTGTTTGATCGATACCTGCAGATGATTAGTGATTCATGTTGCAAATTCAAAGGTCATTATGTACTTATTTATTGACGACTCATTTCATACTTGCTTCTATTCTTTCACAAGTGAAATTTTACACTTGTCATCACTTTCGTTATCTATTTTTAGACAGTGAGCATCGAAAGCCAACTCAACTAAATACATATAGAAGATAGAATAATATTATTAGACGATCAAATATATGGAAGAAATAACATAATATATGCTTGTTTTTATTTTGAAAAGTTCTTTTGATTTAAAAGATTCCTTTTTAAGACTGATAACGACTGTATTTACAATCGATCGTGACATGTTAAATTTTGTACCTATACTATCTAGCATTGGTGTACATTCAATGCCAACAAATAGATATCAAATATGTTTATTGATAGATCACTATAAAGCTATAAAAATGCAACAAATATTAAAAGTGTTTTATCCAGCAACATATACACAGTTAAAAGTTGAATATTCATTGATTTTCATTCATAGATACTTTTTATTTGCGAGTTTAACAACAAAAAAAAGCAAACGCTTGATTAATTGGATTAATTGTTCAAAAAGAAACATCTTTAAAAATGCAAACATTTAAATAACCAGATCGTGAAGACGAACAATATAGTTAGATAGAGAACTACTGATCCTCGTGAGTCATAAACGAAAGTGCTTAGGCAATCAGAATTATGTGAAGAAAAATCAAGACTAGGATCCAATTCGAATAGAAGCTAGATGAACATGATGGCGGCGAAGAAAAGTATTTGTCAGATGATGGAATCGTTTGCGACTCAGCAAATGTAGATAGTTTTATTGAATCAACACGATTGTGATAGAAGGAAGTTGGATGTAAAGTAGAAAATGTAGATGATTTCGTTGAATGTATATGGCTATCATACAATGGACTTGGCTCGGATGTTTCGACTAGAGTGATAACTTTTCCTGGTTGATCATTACATCGATTGGCGTAACAACAAGTAAGATTACGATATTTGTCGGATTGTTGACGCATTTGTTCACATGTAGCAATGGATGTCCATCCACGATGCCATTTGATGTTTCCATTTTGTCGATCTTGTTGTGTACATTGTGATAAATGATTTGATATTTTTGGTAAATATGAACAAACATCTTGATAGCTGAAACAAACGCAACCAACAACTGAACATAGTTCTCCTTCGAAAGTTGTGTATTGTGTTGTATGTGCTTCAAAAAATGAATAATTCAACAATTTGTTTGTTCCACGACTTCTTGTTTCTTGATCATCATAAGTCGTATAACAAGTGATTGAATCACTTGCATAATTGTTACCCAAAACTTGGTGAACAATATAGAAGAAAAGTACTGACTGCACAGAGAAGCGCATTTCTCTCATCGATGTATACATATAAAAAGCAGATGATTGTTACAGTTATCAATATTTAGACTCGATGTATGTCGATTATATACAGTAACTCGAGACAGCTTGATATCTTGTTTTTCTTTCGTTCCTGCTGACGTTGATAGTAACAAGGCGGTGGGTGTATCGTTTCTAGAAACTAATGAGAAACGAAGGCTAAAAAAAGTAATGCTTGGTAATCGACTTTCTATTCACTTAGCTTGTCATTGCCCCCTTATTCAGGGAGTTGACTAATTCCGCCTCATGTCTTTTTTTCTAATGGACATATGATTGCAGAGAAAATTTCTTTCTTGGAAATAGCATATCTTAATACATTTTATTATCGTTTAGCGGAGAAAAGAACAAATTTGGTTTTTTTTTACCTTCAAAGATTTCATAAAAGATGGGAATAAATCAAATAGACTGTTACAATGTATTTCTAATCAATCTTGATATCTATTAAAATTCACTAAAAAATCTTGTTCGAATGAAATATTTTGTTTGACAAAGTTTTAGATTGTGGCATTATTGAACCATTTACGATTTGAGAATAGAGAAAAAACAGTACCGCGTCGATTGTCCTTGTTCTCTGTCACAAAGACGATTCGAACGTGAGATACACTTGCGTTCGTTATCATCTTTCCACTGCTGGCAACATCCACTCACCAATACGGATGAAAAAAGACTCTCTCGATTGTCTTACTTCTTTTTACTGTTATTTATCATTGTGATTTGAAAGAATTCAAATCATGAACAACAGATAATGAGTCCTTTTGTTCATAGAACGTATCAGCTTATCATCGAATGAAACTAAAAAGATAAATGAACTTTTTGAATTTTATATCATTGAAAAAAACGTCGAAATATTGAATAATTGTTCACGTGAATTTCATTTATAGTAATGAAGCAGTGATCGAATACAGTATCAGTAAACGTTCGAGGATGTAATCTATGATCATTCTTAAACCTTCAAGCATCGTTTGCATATGAATATCGAAAAGATTTTTCACTTATACCTCTTGTGTGACGATTAGAGACAATACATCTATTCACTTTTTGTTTTAAAGATCCCTAAGTATAAAATCCATTTGATAAGATTAGTGAGTACGAAATCATTGTCGTAGGTTACTCTCCTAAGTATCCAAGAGTACTTTAAAGTCAAACAAACACATTCTGACCAAGGACTGAACAACTATTCAAAAACGTTTGAATAATCCGATTCATTTAGATCTTCAATCAAAACACTGGAGCAATATTGAGAAATTAGGATATTTCTTAGTTTGGTAGAGGTGCTTCTTGCAAACACTAAATACACTATTTTTAGTGTTCTTCTTTAACCGGACGAACAGCCTTTCTATTCAATTCAAATCAATCAATTGAACATGATACTGCCACTTCAACACGACTAATAAGAACTCAAATCAAATAGCAAGGCCTTCATATTTTTGTCATTGACTCATCAAAGCTATTGGTTACCTGTCATCCCTTCCTGACTAGTGGAACGAACAGAATATGCATCGAAGTCGTTTACTCAAAATGCATTTAGTGTAGTAATTTCGATAAGCATGACGGGTGATAACAAGTTTGATTTGATCACAGATATCTGTGCGAATCGATCGTTTTTTCATTCACAGCAATACAATACATCACGTGATGGCAATCCTTCATTTATGGATGCGATCTGCTTCCCGTGGAGAAAATCGAACAATACTATGAGAAAGAAGCACCGATACGAGTTTTGTATAATCTTGCATTTACATCGGTTGCTGACTCTCTACTCTCTCATTTTTTAAAATCTGTTTAACTATTATTCATTCAAATGCAAAGTAGGCAACACGTTCGACTGCGATCAAACTATAATTTAACTTCAATGGTCAATGGTTTACTCACTTCATTCTCGTGAAATATTATCGCACACGGAATGCGATTCTGGATGTAAATAGTCATGCATCAAATTTTCAAATAACTACAGAATCTGTAGGCATATATTTTTCATCAATTTTCTTTATTGCCTTTACATTTATTCTTATACTTCTTAGACTTAAAAATATAACACAATATCATCATTTACTTAGGGTATACCAAAAGTTCTGATCACAGTTTTTAAAATTTAATAAAGCGATAAATATTGAATATTTTACTAAGGCGATATATAGTATAACGTCTCGTCTTTAATAATATATAGAGCAACTCTCTCTTAGACTTAGTTCTAGCATCCTTTCAGACTAAATCTATAATTTTACAGACAATGCAAATATTATTAATTCTTGTTCAATGGTCAGGTACATTCTGGAACTTTCTATTGGTCACTCTCTCGTCACGTTTTATGACGTCATGTTCTAGAATATTACATTTCGATAGTATATATAAATGAGAGGTCGTTCGCTGTTAGTTCATTTGTACCGTACTCGACTTAAAATCGTAATAGAATTTGATTTCAATCTTAAAAGAAGACATTAAACATGACTGATGAATTCAATCGATATTATATCAAAATTCGAGCTATTTTGGGAATAGATTCAAAAACAATCTTTGACGAACTTACAGAGGCATTGGGACCTGATGCTCCATCATATCCAACAGTCAGAAGATGGGCGAAAAGTTTTCGTGAAGGAAGAGACGATGTCACTGATGATCCTCGATCTGGTCGTCCGATTTCGGTACTTACAGATGAAAATGTTGAACGCGTTCGACAAGTTATCGAAGATGATCCACACTCAACTTATGATGATATTATGGGTGAGACTGAGCTATCACGTGGTACAATAGAACGAATTATTCATGATCGTCTAAAGATGAGAAAAGTTACATCACGTTGGGTTGCTCATCAACTTACTGACGAACAAAAACAAAAACGACTTAGAATTTGTCGTCAAAATTTAGAGAAATTTAGAAATGGAACATGGCATTTATGTGATGTTATTACTGGTGATGAGACATGGATTTATCACAGGCAGATTGGTCGAAAGTCAAGCAATGCTACTTGGGTTGGCGAAAATGAACTACCAAGAACCATTGTTCGTCGGAATAGATTTGAACCTAGAACACTATTTTGCTTCTTCTTCAAATCCACTGGTTCTCTTCTCATACACAAAGTAGATAAGGGCAAGACAATCGATCATGACTACTATATTGATAATTGTCTTATACCTGTTATCAATGAAATAAGAAAAAAGGAAAAGTCATCACGTACTACATATAAAATGCTTCATGATAATGGTCCTCCTCATACTCATCCAGATGTTATTGATTATTTAATGGAGGAAGGAATCGAAATCATTCCACATCCACCATATTCACCAGATCTCGCACCGTGTGACTTTTGGCTAAATGATTATATCAAGAACAAGTTGACGGATCACACAAACGAAGAATCATTAGCTCAAGAGGTTTCCACCATAGTGAAGAATATTCCAATAAACGAGTTTAAAAAGACTTTCGATAAACTGTTAGAAAGAATGAAACTTTGTATCGAAAATAATGGTGATTATTTTGAGCATTTAATAAAATAAAATAACGAATGTCTCTTCGTTTCTGTATTGTGGTTTTATGTTGGCATGATCTTTTCTTGGCTATAAATACTATAGATTTAGTCTGAAAGGATGTTAGAACTAAGTCTAAGAGAGAGTTGCTCTATATATTATTAAAGACGAGACGTTATACTATATATTGCCTTAGTAAGATATTCAATATTTATTGCTTTATTAAATTTTAAAAACTGTGATCAGAACTTTTGGTATACCCTAAGTACTGCAATAACTATTATAGATTTTATACATGAAGACCTAATAATGATTCTGTTTATACTCAGTTGTCAACTAGAAATAAATTTTATTTAAACAAGAGTTTTTAGCTTCATGACATTTTCACCATATCCATAACCTTTATCTAAAAAGAAAGTTTTTTTCAATTGATTTTTTCTTTGATTTTGTGAGCACATTATAAATGTGTTTGATTTTCTTGCACACGTTATGTCGTTTTGCAATAGATCAATAATAAAAAGAAAGAGTTGTGAATTTATGGTACACAGGAATATTCTTTCTTTGTTAATAACCGATAGTATTTTGTGTTTTCGCTCCATTGATGATCATCAATCTTTCTTGACTTTACAAAATAGAAAACGAGCGATAACGACCGCTGCATGTGCACTACACACATCAAATAATCTATTTAAAGCAGTGATCTTGCTAAATTCCTCTTTATTTATCAGGTTTTTCTGAAATAGTGAACCATGTTTCTTCTTGTAGTTATTCATTATTTGAAAGGTTTCGGTATTGATTTACCAAATTCATGTACTCGTATCGAAACATTATGATAAATTATCGGACTGTTTCTCGCTTGATTCTATCTACAAAACCCACACATTCATATTTGAGAATTTCTTGATGTAAATGAGTTTGAGAGAAAAACATATCGCGAATATGGTGTTATTTTAATCTTAGTATTCATAAAACTGTGAGAGCATTGAAAAGAAATATCTGTTCTTTAGTACCTTAACACCCTTAACATTCTTTTTTCATTTCAAAAAGACAGTGTTTTTGTTTTCGTGTAGTACAATAAGAGTGTATTATCTATTCCGATATTTTCATTTATCTAAGTATAAATTAATTTATCAAATATAACAGATGCTGGAATGACACAATATTACACAACAAATAGAACAAAACAAAATATAACGATGTTGTCAAGTTAAAGTTTCGCTTCATAGAAATAAAACACTCATAACTTGTTCTATCAAATATCGATAAAATGAAGCAAAAGGTCAACATTCTTTTTTGATTTTCTATTATCAATTTTTCGTTACTAAATAATTACACAATATCTCATATTTCTTTTCTTGCTTTCTTCTTTAGAAACATTTTCGATTTTTTTTTCTCATTAATCATTTACTTCTACGATTTCAAAATATGATGTTCGACTCAAGAATGATTTCTCTTTTGATTATGATTTCCGTAATGAATACAGTGTACGGTTCATATAATTATGTGGGTTGTTAT